ACTTCTGGAATATGAAATTGCAAAGTTACACGTGCTTTTTTATAGGATTCAAAACTGTTTTTTGGAATAAAACGTAATGCGAAGAAAAGTTGGACTGCGAGGAATTTTCACTTCAAGTGAAAATGTTTGAAGGAGAGATCTGAAGGTTGGTCCCACCAGACGACAATAACCGATTTCACTTGACCAAATGTAAAACATGTTAAACGTGGTTTTTCATAGAACGTTGAGCTTACTTTCATTTTGAGCGAAAGTGTTTGGTGAAGAGATTCGAAGGTCGGTTCCACCAGAAGACGACGGCGGATTTCTCTCTAGAAGATTCATGCTGACGTTCGTCCGTCACATGACGAACATTATCAGAGCGCGGTAACATCTTCACAACAAAATTCAAGCATGGCCCTTCGAGTAAAGCCAATCGACAGCCGGTCGTCTTCTGGCGGAACCGACCTTCAAATCTCTTCACCCGACACTTTCACTCGAAATGAAAGTAAGCTCAACAATGCTGAAATAAGAGATTCCTCGAAGCCACGCTCTCCTTCGCATGCCCTGATTTTATCCCATTTTGTCGGGCCGGAGACCTCGAGAGTACGGCCAGCAACAAAATCGGCAACAACGAACCTTACCAGCTTGTACACGAAACGGCAACCAGACTGAAGATGGACCCAATCAAATGCGAAACTACGAGTCACCGGCCCGACAAGTCGGGGGCACATGGTTCGAAGTTGGAGGGTTCTGGCCGCCCTCGAATCGTCTGAAACTTTCGCAAAGCCCAAAATCAAAGGTCCCGCCATGCCGAACACCTCCGATTGGCGTATTTCCAGGCAACCCAGATTATCAGCCGACCCTGTTCGCACCTTTCACACCTCGACGAGACGGCTTGCAACGTGATTGCTTGCACATCTCAATGGGCCAAATGGGGCTTTGTCCCAGCGAGTATGTCGCCTCATCTCTACAGAAATTGTATGCTATGATTTATCTTGACAGGTAGGGCAAAGATATTCGTCCATGGTTTGACAATAGTTTAGGCATACTTGAGAATTAGTGGAGAAGCCGGCACGTCAAGGTGGGCTTGATAAATGGAGCTAATCGCGGCAACTTTCAGCAGAAAATATGCTAATTATGCGACCATGTCAGCACATTCAACTCATCTCTTTTATCGGCCAAACTAGACAATTGGTCGTTTGATGGAATAGCCTCAATCTACCAGACAGACAAGAATAGGAAATTGAGCCCAACATGGGTCTAAAGAAAATGTGCTTAAATGAACTTTTTTCTACTCTACTCACATCTACAGAAAAAAGTTGTAGTCAAGCCTATTGTGAGTTTGATCCATTCATTCTAAAGATCGGTTGGATGTTCATAATATAATAAAATAAGCCTTGTTCGGGGGGGTGGGTAAATATACCGATTTATATGGTCTTCCTCGAATCTTATTCTGTAGCATAATGTGTGATTTATTTAATGTGTGATTATTTAGGTGAGTATACGTGGACTTGTAAATAAATATATTATTCCATAAGTGTGTTTGTGATACACTGCCCAATATGTCCTAGTGCTAACAGAACTAGCTACATCAGTAGTATATAAGTAGGGCATATCTCCTCTCGAGATAAGTCCCGTGAATTAAGTTCCTGAATGATTTGTATTTTGCATTTGCGCCGAGTTTGCTCTTGCGGTGTCAATCTAAATTGTGTAAGATTTATTAAGAACTTGCATATCAGTCTACCTGTAGATTTTGTGGGATGGGTGCAAGGAAATCATACAAACGTCTGGATGTCGCTTGCCCAGAAGCCAAGTCATGTGTCTGCCTATTCTGTCCTCTTGATCAGAGTTTGTGTGACTTCACAAGTGGATAACCGCACTCACAAAATCTCTTGACAGAGCTGACCTGTTTAAGGCATTGCATGTGAAAGATTGAGAAGCTTGGTACACAATTCCTGAATGAGATAATCGGATACAGAAGCGCTGGGTCAAGGGGTCTGCTTTAGGTGGCTATGCGTTAAAATGATACTTTGAAACGTACAACTGCATTGGTTCGCTCGGATTAGAGGTTTAGCCCCCCAAAATCATATGATCTATTATGTACATTAGAGTACACATCTATCATTTCTTGTATTCTTGGTCCTTGGCAAACCTCTTGAGACTGTTGACAGAAGTATGTTCGACATGTGTAATATACAGAATTTTCGGCTATCTGCTTACTTCATTCTGTACATTTATTCTCAGGCAAGTGAAATCGCATTTTTCCGAAAATTTTTCTGTTTTATAATACGAAGCAAATATGGGATTCGGAGAATCTCTTGATAAGTACATTTTAGTGAATATTGCGTTTCGTCCTGAAAGTTGGTATGAGAGGATTAGCAAATTGGACGAGGGCTGCCTTGAATTTGTTATAGTTAATTTGTTCGAATATGTCCTCAGTGCATCGTTGTGAAGCATCGATGAATCAGTGCTTGGCTCTCGTCTGTCTCGCTGTACTTACTGGACATCGTCAGAGAACGACATCCTTTAGTGAACCTTACGGAAACAGGAAACCAGGAATGGACGCCAACTGCCTTCCTACCTACATAGAATTCCTTATATCTACGAAATTAACCCAGTTCCGAATGATTTTGCCCTAAAAGTAGCCAACCAAATCACGAGAGGTAGCATTCAGACAGTTAAATTAGGCTGTAGGAATGTGTGCACAGAAAATTTCGCCCTAGGATCGTTTTTCCCTCAAATGATGCCGTCGTTGATGTATCGGACGGAAAATAAAGTAAGCTAACGAATTGTATGAACAATTTGACAGTCAAAATATCATCCCATTGTTCATTTGCTTTCCGGTGGACCAAGTTTCCATTATCTTCAAGCTGACATTTGAAATAAAGTTAAATTAAATTATCTAAACCCTCCTATTATTTGCAAATACAATAATGGATGTCCTCCAGTAACTAAGGTAGTTCATCCTCTTGACATAAAAAAATGGAGGATTAATTTGGTAGATTCTATTTGGTAGATTTCTATTACTGAAGAAGGGCCTAACCTTTTGAAAAAGCTCAAGAGCCGAAAGACAAACTCCGGCATCTGCCAAATGTATAATTTTCTCTGTCTAAACACCGAAACGTCTCAGTTATTCCAAGTTTGCTAGCAAACATGGATGCTCGATCTGCTCTGAGACAATTTCCCCTTAAACAATAGAGAAGAAGATAACGCTTATCGTTACGAGACATTCTTTTGCCCAGGCTCTAGGCACTTTCCTCAAGATCTCGGTGACCCATCATTTGTTGGCATGGCAACAACGATGACGTAGCCAAAACTGATATGAATATCGGGCATTGAAAATTAAAGAGGGTCTGCAATGTGCTTTGGTTGTTATCGGGAGGACTTGCGGTGTGCCCAGGGCAACTCGAGTCTATATTGAGAGAAGGCGCTCCTCAAAGTATCCTTAATCACATTATTATGACAGGATTTCATATAAGGAATAAAACGTAAGGGAAAATGATTCAGTAGAATCAAATTATGAAAGCATGGTCCACATAAACTCTTGATAATTCAAGGAAAGATACAGCTGGGAGCATAGTCTCTATCCGCGGCAACTTTAACCATTTACGAGTATTTAAATTAAGTAGGAAGTAGTCAGAAAGAAAAGACGAAAGTTTGGCATAGGTTCAGGGGGGTAGTCGAAATCTTCCCTCTTGACTCTGTTAAAAAATATACGCAAATTTTCTTTTAATACCTTCTTTGGAGGTCCATTGAGAACCAAAAAGTTTGCTCTTCCACTTGTTTGGCTCACTTTCATTTCTAGCGAAAATGTATGATGAAAAGATTCAAGGGTTGATCCCACCAGAATAACTTTACCAACCGTCGATTAGCGTTGGCGTTGTTTGCGACGCCAGCTGCTTCGTTTCCGGTGAAAACGTGTTAAGCTTTCAGCCGTTGTAGGACGGGCATTATCAGGGAAAGTTGTCATCCGACTTATCCCTGAATGCTGTATACATACTCTATATTTATGCTCTTTGATAAGGTATCAACTTATTTGCGTCGACTCTTTAGCTTGAATAGGGTTGTAAGGACGAAAGTTTAGCACGCTTACACCGGCATCGAAGCAGATTGCTTCAGAAACAGCGTCAACAAGAATGCTTCATTAAAGCCGATAATAAATCCGCCATCGTCTCCTGGTGGTATTGACCTTTGAATCTCTTCATAAAACATTTTCTCTAGAAATGGCATTTCTTCCTCTACTGATTTATACACACAAACACATACACACACAAAAACACACACACAAACACACACAGATACACAGAGGCACACACTCATGCAACGTTGTTGTTGTGACGATGTTACCTCACTCTGATGATGTCCGGCATATGACGGACACCTTTTTACCGGAATCGAAGGAGATTGCCTCGGAAACGGCATCAGCATGAATATTCCAGTAAAGCCAATCGACAGCTGGTCAGGAGGAATCGGCCATCATCTTCCGGTAGAACAGACCTTCGAATCTCTTCACCCAACACTTTCCCTCGAAATGGAAATGAAACAAGAGATTCCTCACAATCCAACTTTTCTTTGCAGAAATTTTTCAACTGACCGGCTTTGTGAGTAGCCAAAGTAGTAATTGTGGTGGATGAATCAGCGAATGAGTAGTCTGATGAGTAGTCAGTTTCCGACCTTAGAATCACTTCACCGCACACTTTCCATCGAAATGTAAGTAAGCTGAACAATTATTAAACAAGAGATTCCTCGAAACCCAACTTCCCTTCGCATCCTGTCGGTATGTCATAATTGTTCTCAGCTTCTTTCTCAACTTTGTCATGATGACGCTGAGAACTGTACAGCCTAATTAGTAGAGAATATACGAATAAAATGCAGGTTTCGAATAGCAGAGAATAATCCAGTAAGAATGCATGATAGAGAGGTAATGAGGTATGCGGATATCTGAATGAAGCCACCGGGGCAGAAGGGGAAGATTCGTCCACTTGTCTGTGACGAAATGTAGCTGAGTGGTAGGATAGGAGCTGCCCACTGTGTGGACGAAATGTCTGGAAATGTGACATCAGGAAATGATCCATATTACTCTGGTCGAGAACCCGGAGCAGGGCAGATGCCCCGAGGTCCGCTGAAAACACATGAACTGCCTACTCTCAGCCTCATGTCACCCTTTTAGAGACTTAAGAGGGAAAATGGACGTTTCTTTGCACAACGGATATGTGCACACCTCGAATATTCACATGTTCAATGCCAAACTTGTTCGATTTCCTTCTGATTGACAAAATTTTGTCTTTCGGGAAGACTTTCATTTCGAATTAAATGCGTATAAACACTTACAAACACACATATACACACATACACACACGTTGATACTCGAGCAAAAGTAGCATGACCAGTATGAAAGATAATTAACCAAACTACTCTATATCTTTATCGTTCGAATTAAGTATTGTTTCAGTGACTGCCAGTAACTCAGTAATATGAGATGTTTTCAGCCAATTTCGTTTAAGGTGATGAAGGACTGGTAGAAGAAGAATTTTCCCACAATGATATGAGTGGGAATTGTCGACTTGTTGTGGAATTGTCGATGAAGCAAACGTATAACTGCTATAACAATCGACT